ACTATAGGCCTCGAGTTTTCTGAAGGTGCAGGAAAGGAGCCGTTGGGATGAGAATGAAGAGATGGGAGTAATTAAATAGATTTAAACGGGCCATCAATGTATTAATATAATATTAATATGTAAAATGCGTATAAGCCTTGCAAACAAAGCCACTTCCGTGTTGCGGGCTTCACACTCCCAACACGCGTGCAGAGGCTGGTTTCCAGCCCCCGTGCGATCAGGGGAATCCTTGGGCCGCGTCATCCCCTGAGCCAGCCAATCGGCTGGCTAGGAATGTGTGGCTTGCCTCACTTAAGGCAAGCACGGCCCCGGGATCTCCCTCTTTTGCCTGCGCAGCTGCTGTTGTTTCCCACCCGCCCGCCCCTTAAGTTTCCCCTTCTGACCTTGCTATGGACCTCAGTTGGTCCCTGTTAAGGGGCCTGGTAGGAATTTTTTCCACTTGGCAAATTGGCACTAGCCATTTGGTTTTTCGCCTACCTCGTAGCAAATCATCACACCTCCTTTGGTTTGGGCGGTTAGGCATTGGTAGGGGTATTGTTATGTAGATGTGTTGCGGGGGGGAGTGCCATCACCTCCCCCAAATATTGAAGGGTAGTCCAGTAAAGGATTCCGGGGGACGTGGCCTCGTCCGAAGCCTATGGAGGTCAGGGCCTAAAGCGTGCCCCCGAGTGGTGACCCGGGGGAGTTCCTAGTTGATGTGCATCAGCAGGGCTCCCCCTGCTGGTGTTAATCCTTCCCAGTCTTCATGCAAGCAGGCTGAAGCCGGATAGTCTGATAGGACCAATGCCTAAGCCAATACCGCTCTTACCTGTAACCAATAAAATTGTGGCCAATTTTAGCCCATTAACTTAATACAATGGTGCCGCGCGTCTTTATTTCTATTGGGGGGAGGCGGGAACTTGCCACACAATTAAGTCCTGCAGTAACAATTTAGATAGTTCTGGAGGGAGGCTCATGTTGCCCTTGATAGGCTAGGGATTCCCCACGATGGCTCTATCAGTTCTGGAATTCTATGCGCAGGTCTGGTCTCTGGCATCCTTCCGTCTCGGGAGACGATGGAGGAGGGTGCCTTGGGGGGGAAGTCAAACTGTTGGAAGGTTGCAGTGTCTGCTGTGGCTGTAGAGACATGTTTAGTTGCAGCTGGGGCAGATGAAAGTGTCTGGTTGTGCTGCTGCAGACGTCCCATGACATTTCTTCTCTCTGTGCTCCACCCAGCGGTTATTTCTCCTCTGGTCACTGTTAGTTTCTGTTTCTCACTGAGAAGCTGCTGGGAGTCACAGGACTCTGTTTACATTCCAGAGACCTTGCAGTCTCACAGGAAAGGGAGACGGGATGTGACGTTAGTGGTTTCCTGTTTCCTTTGTTCCTTTGTTTCAGTTCCTCTCTGCTCTCACAGGGAGATGATGTATATTCCTTTGCTCTCTTCGTAGCTAGAAAATAAAGCATAGCAATGTAGATCATACTGTCTCATCCTGCCCTGTGCTGGGAACTCTGCTGGGAGGATGTGCCTTGGAGCCTCATCAAAGGCTCGAGGTCGTTAAACACGTCGGGAGGTGATTCCGAAGATGAGCCTTCTCAGCTTGGCTGAGCTAAGATTCCGACAGTCACTGCTATGAATGCATGACTTGAATTCCTGTCTGCAGGCACTGAGGTCACCTGCAAGGGATTCCCATCTGGCAGAGCTGGTGTGGCCAGCCTTCATGTCTTCATGTTTACAGTCATCTTTGTAATGCAGAGTTGGTCTGCCAACAGGCATGATGCCTGAAGCCAGCACCCCATAGAGCACATCCTTGGGGATCCTGCCATCTTCCATTCTATGGGCATGACCAAGCCAGTGTAGCCGTCGCTGAGACAGGAGTGCAAACATGCTGAGAATGTGGGCTTGAGCACATCTTTGTTTGAAACTCTGTCCTGCCATGTGATACTCCAAATCTTCATGATACAGCACATGTGGGAAGGTGTTGAGGTGTCACTTCTGATGGTTGTCAGTTGCCCAGAACTCAGTTCCATAAAGCAACATGCTCAACACTCTTCCTTTTTTAAAAAAAAATTAAAAAATTATTATTAAAATAATTCAACATTAATACATACATGTTACGAATATACAAACATACATTTCATACAATCCTTAAGAATATTCATACATATCCACACTCACTCCCACAAGTACTTCCTTTTCCCACCACCAGCCCTCAGCCCTCAGCCCACCCCTGTGATAAACTTCCAATCTACTCAATTGCAATTTCTTTCCACTTCTCTTACTTTCTTTCACATACTTTTAAACCAGTTTTCTGCTTCTTTTTCTGTTACACATTGTTATCCACCTCATTTAGTATTTCAGTATTTATAACGGAACTTGTTTATTCTAATAGGAGTTCTGATTTTTCAATATAACACTCTTCCCTTTTTTTTAATTAATATTTATTGAAGTTTCACAAAGAATAGAATCACATTGATAAAAAAGAAAAATTTAAACATAAAAAAGAAAAATACACAATACAAAATACAAAATACAAAAAGATAAAAGAAAAAAACAGTTAAAAACAATTCCGTCTTTTCATAACTTCTTTTACATTTACTTGTTTCCCGGACTTCCTCATACCTCCCTCTTTTGTATTCCAATTCAGTTTGTTAGTCCAGCAATTTCTTTCCCTCCTTTTTAATCCCAATCCTTAATCTTAATATATTGTAACATTAAGTTTTTACCTATTAAAAACCAATTTTTCCATTCTTTTAACCTTTTAAATCCTAATCCTTAATCTTGATATATTTATAACTTTAAAGCCTGTACAGCTAGAAGCCAGTTAACTTCAATCCAACATCACTCTAACATTCATTAATTTTGCAATATTTCCGTAAATAATCTTTAAATTTCTTCCAATCTTCTTCCACCAACTCTTCTCCCTGGTCACTCTTCCTTTTGGTATTGGACGGTAGCATCACATTCTCCCATACTCTTTTGGAGAGGTGAGCCATTGCTCTGGCTGCCTTGCCAATATGCTTACCCAGTTCAGCATTGGTGGAGAGCTGATTTTTTCATGCCTAGTTGTGGCCTTTCCAGAAACATCTGGAAACATCTGATGAAAGCAGAATTTCGGGCAAGAGCAACCCCTAGCCTGATCCGGCAGGGCTCTTCAGATACTCAGTTCATCGGCTGTAAGAATCATAGCATAATTCCACTACATCCGTCTTTGGCAGGCCAAGCCCTGCAGATGGCTTTGGATGGCAGCGCTGGCTGGGGCTGTGGGGAGTTCAGAACATCTGGAGGGTGCCCCAGGCTTGGTGAAAGCTCTCCCACCCAGTGAACTTAGCAATATCATCTCTACAGAGAATGCTTCTTGGATCTTCATGGTCATGGTTTCGTATTTTATTATTAAAACCACAGTGAAATACACGGTCCGTTACGGAACTATCAAAGACAGAATGCACCTCATTTTTGCTCACCCGTTAGGGTCACATTCCAATAAAACATAAAATATCCACACATCTTTACAAAGGGGGCAGCCAGTTTCTCTCACTCATTTTAATGCTGTTGGTTTGCTCATAAATATTACTCCCTATGATCCTTTTCTGAAGGCGTGACTACAGACATCCTGTTTTACTATACATATTGTAGCAGTTGTTAATTAGATTTTGCACCAGATAAACATGCCTTGCTCTTTTAACAATGCCAATAAGCAGAGTGTTAGTGATAAAGGCTATGTACAGCTTATTATTCCCACAAATACTTTCTAATATCAATTCCCAGTAATTATCCTAACACAATCTAGCCTGTGTCCCACAGATGACAGCAGCAGCAATTATCTCAAATGCTGATATATCTACTTTTAATCCTTTTTAGTGTATTATATCACCTGTGTAAGATTTTATAAAAGCTATCTTTAAGGATTACTGAAAATAAGTACTTGAGAATCCCTGGACCCTTGTATAAGTCCAGTCCGCTTCTGACAAAGGTGGTTTTAAATTCCTCTCTCACTTTAATCCACAAGACTTCAGTCTGCTCCTCCAAAAGGATTTTATAGTGGGGAGGGGGGACCTTCAACCCGGAGGCTTGGTGGGGCCCTCCCAGTCTCTCTATCTGATCCTCTGGATTCTCCCTGGGCCATTGCTTTTCCCTGGCTAGATGTGTCCTTTAATTGTGTTAATACTGCTTACTTGCCAAGATAGAGAGAATATTATTGTTGTTGTTGTTGCTGCTGCTGCTGCTGCTGCTCTTCTCATTGCTGTTGTTGTGATTATTTACATTTGTACAGTGGTTCCTCAGGTTACATACGCTTCAGGTTACATACGCTTCAGGTTACAGACTCCGCTAACCCAGAAATAGTGCTTCAGGTTAAGAACTTTGCTTCAGGATGAGAACAGAAATCGTGCTCTGGTGGCGCGGCAGCAGCAGGAGGCCCCATTAGCTAAAGTGGTGCATCAGGTTAAGAACAGTTTCAGGTTAAGTACGGACCTCCAGAACGAAATAAGTACTTAATCCGAGGTACCACTGTATCCCAGTTTTTCTTCAAGGAGCTCAAGGTGGCTTACATAGTTCTCCTCCCCAGTTTTAGTGGGATGCGGGTGGTGCTGGGGTCTAAACCACCGAGCCTCTTGGGCTTGCCAATCAGAAGGTTGTCAGTTCGAATCCCCATGACGGGGTGAACTACCATTGTTCTGTCCCATCTCCTGCCAACCAAGCAGTTCAAAAGCACACCCGTTGCGGCGGGAAGGTAAACGGCGTTTCCGTGTGCTCTGGTTTGTGTCACGGTATTCTGTTGCTCCAGAAGTGGTTTAGTCCTGCTGGCCACATGACCCTGAAAGCTGTCTGTGGACAAACACTGGCTCCCTTGGTCTGAAAGTAGAGATGAGCAGCCACACCCAATAGTCAAGTTTGACTGGACTTAACCGTCCAGAGGTCCTTTACCTTTTTACCTTTTACCTCCCCATTTTATCCCCATAACAACCCTGTTGTTGCGCTGAGAGTAATTGGGTGGCCCAAGGTCAGCCAGCAAGCTTCATGGCCGAGTGGGGATTTGAACCCTGGTCTCCCAGGTCATAGCCTGACGCTCTAACCCCCAAGCCACACTGGCTCTTCCCAGAGTGGGGGGAGGCATTGTAGAAATAAGACTGTGTGGCTGAGGTTTGCCTTGCTGTACAAAGGGGTAAACATCATCTTAAAGGTAAAGGGACCCCTGACCATTAGGTCCAGTCGTGACCGACTCTGGGGTGGCGGCGCTCATCTCGCTTTACTGGCTGAGGGAGCCGGCGTACAGCTTCCGGGTCATGTGGCCAGCATGACTAAGCCGCTTCTGGTGAACCAGAGCAGTGCACGGAAACGCCGTTTACCTTCCCGCCAGAGCAGAACCTGTTTACCTACTTGCACTTTGACGTGCTTTCGAACTGCCAGGTTGGCAGGAGCAGGGACCAAGCAATGGGAGCTCACCCCATCACGGGCATTCGAACCTCCAACCTTCTGATTGGCAAGTCCTAGGCTCTGTGGTTTAATCCACAGCGCCACCCATATCCCATCATCTTACTCATGTTTAAAACTCCTGGTGTAGTGAAAGCAAAGCCTTTTATTTGCAGCCGAAGACTGAATTAAGATGCTCACTTGAGGAATCTGAAGATGTGTGCCTGACCTTATAGTGAATGTTTTTGCTCTCCTTGCAGCGGCCCTGTTCTCCAACACCCACGCCAGTCAAAATGGAGCTGCTACGGGCTCCCTGCCCCCATCCCACTCGGTGAGCCACGCTTCTTCAGGGCACAATGTGCATGGCAGCCCCCACAACCCACCAACCCAGGTGCCCCCTCTCACAACAGGGGACTCAGAAACAGAGAGGTAAGGCCACGAATGGGGAGTATTTTTTCCATCCTGTCTCACTTAATCAGACCAAAGGGAGTCGTCTTTGGGATGCTGGCTCAGGATTTCCAAAACAATGAAAAATCTGAGCCATAGTGTCTAAAACCACTGAAATTCCTTACATTTCTAAAGAAGTGCATTGCATGGAAGTAAAAGACATCTGATGTGTTCTGTACAGCTCTGATATTCACAAATAAGAGACCACTCTTTAAAATAAGGACATTCCTTAAACTAATTGACATATAATCATTCTTGGTCACATTTACTACCAATCTGCTATATGGCTGATTTGTGATGACTCCAATTGTCCCATAGCTCAAATTTGCTTAAACGATGATCACCATCCACCATACCATCAAATTCAGAACCTACCAAACCCCTGAGATTGATAATGTCTTGGGCAGGGCCAGCCCTACCATTAGATGGAGTGCAGCTTCTGCCTCAGGTAACAGATGCTGGTGGGGTGGCATTAATGGCAGCCTCCCACCTTTCCTCCTGAACCCACCTGGACTGCCACCCTCTGATGGAGGACAGAGCTGGGAGCCCTGTGATTTATTTATTCATTTCATTTTTTACATGATCCAAGGATGGAGCATATCAGATATAATATCAAGCAATACAACAACCCCATCAAAAACAATAAAACACACTCTCTCTCTCTCTATATATATATGGTTTAACTACTTTTCCTTATTGCAGAAGAAATACATCATAGACCCACATCACCAACACCTGCCTAAAAAGGCAGGTTTTCAGCTGATGCCAAAATCAGCCAATGACAATGTCAGACAGATTTTAAAATAGAAGACATTCCTATTCCAAAGCCTGCTGGCTCATTCACTCCCCAAACCTTCAATCACAATATACTGAGGCCCTAAATAGGTAAAGGTAAAGGGACCCCTGACCATTAGGTCCAGTTGTGGCTGACTCTGGGGTTGCGGCGTTCATCTCACTTCATTGGCCGAGGGAGCCAGCGTACAGCTTCCAGGTCATGTGGCCAGCATGACTAAGCTGCTTCTGGCGAACCAGAGCAGCGCACAGAAACGCCGTTTACCTTCCCGCTGGAGCGGTACCTATTTATCTACTTGCACTTTGATGTGCTTTCGAACTGCTAGGTTGGCAGGAGCAGGGACTGAGCAACGGGAGCTCACCCCATCGCAGGGATTCGAACCGCTGACCTTCTGATCGGCAAGCCCTAGGCTCTGTGGTTTAGACCACAGCACCACCCACGTCCCCTGAGGCCCTAAATAGCATGGAATAAATCCTTGTCCTTTCCCCCCGCACTAGTTCTGAGTTAAGCACACTTGAATGGATTTCGGTGGGTTTAAATCTGCCTTGTGGCTGAACAGTGTGTCATGCATAGAATGGCATTGTAAAAGTTTTTGCTTTGTCATCATTAAGCCACACTTGTAATACACAGCTGGTTTTATCATATACGTATGCAATCTGCTAATAAATGTTACATAGCTATGCATTCAAAAGGCAGCTGTAAGTGATTACTCTAGGCTGTGAGCAGCTATTTGTTGCTGATTAGATTGTGATCTCACGTCTTTACTTATGTCTGGAATGTTAGACATCACAGCAAGGTAGAACTGCATTTTCCTAGATTCAGTTTTCATCTGCAAGACATATAATTAAAGGCAACAATTTTGGAAAGAAATACGTTGCAACCATTTCTTTCCTCCAGGTAGATTAAATGAGAAATTTCCTGTATCACATAGTGAAAAATTAACTGCTTTTTCTAAACTAGAATGTTTGATATATGCCTCTTAAATCAACCACTTTTCCTTTATAACCATAGACAACTGGAACATATTTTGCCATACTGAATGTTTCTTTTTTCAGACCAGCAGAATTATTATTAATCTATTTATATTTAAGAGTTTAGTGTAAGTTTATATTCCAGAGAAATTGAAATATTAGAAATTATTCTCTGGTGCCAAATTTGCATAACAAAAAGAACCTTCCCAATATAGTTCTCATTTTATTAAATGGTGTTAGTTATCTCCCAAATATTTTTATTCTTCATTTGAGAGAGACCATCATAACTAGAAGTTTATTGTGGGCAAATCAACTACTTTTTAGTATCCTGAGAATCTCACCTTAAATTTAAATACTTAAATTTAAGTAGAGTGGTACCTCGGTTTAAGAACAGCCCTATTTATGAACTATTCAGTTTACGAACTCTGCAAAACCGGAAGTAGTGTCCCGGTTTGCGAACTTTACCTTAGTCTAAGAACGGAAGCCAAATGGTGGAAGGGCGCCAGCGGTGGGAGGCCTCAGTAGGGAAAGCGCGCCTCAGTTTAAGAACAGTTTTGGTTTAAGAACGGACTTCCGGAATGGATTAAGTTCATAAACCGAGGTACCACTGTATGCAATGTACCTCAAGCAACATTTCCTGATAAGGTGTGCAATACCTTATGTCCTGCTTCATCCTATCTTGGAAAGCTTATCCAGATGATCAGGGCAGCCTGTGTCCCTACCCCATTTTACCTTTCGTGGGATAATCCTGCAAGTCCCAGTTCAGTGGACCCACACATAATGGAGGGAAGTGGCTTTGCTTTGTTGGTGGTGGTGCAGTTCTGCTGCTGTTCTCTTTCTTAAAAAAGGTTGATAGAACTATGTTTGCATTAGGATAACTATAGAAGTTGTTTGCACAGCAGCTAAAATAGGCTAGTCTCAAAGCAAAGTCTGGATAGCAGGTTCAACTAAAACCCAGTTAAAGGGAGACATTTTTTTAAGCTGTAACACTTGACTCTGGTTTAGTGCAGGGGATGCCAATGCAGTTCCCTCCAGCTATCTGATGACAGCTCATAAAGAAATCAGCCCTGGAAGGATTGGTCTGGAACAACTATTGAGCAATAAGCCCTTTGCGGGAGGCGGGGTGGTTATGGTGGACAGGGTTGTGCAGGGTAGCTGTCAGCATTCTTGGATCTTATGAAGTATGTCGATCTATTCCAATCTAGGTTCTGGCCTGGCCATGGGACTGAGTTGCCCTTGATCACCCTGATGGGTGACCTTGACAGAGAGATGGACAAGGCAAGAGTGACCTTGCTTCTTGATCTCTCTGCAGCTTTAGAGATAGTTTTGACCACGGTATCCGAGAGGACTGTGTTTCCATGATTCCAGTCCTACCTCTGTGACCAAGATCAAAGAGTGCATTGGAAGAGTGCTTTTTGGCCCCTGGCAGTTATGCAATTTTTATTCCCAATACTATTTGATATCTATATGAAGTTGCTGGGATCAGTCATTAGGAGTTTGGGGACAAGGTATCATCAGTATGCTGGTGACAGTCATTTCCATTTTTCTGTAACATCTCCATCAGAAAAGGCCATGCAGGCCTTGGACATAGTGGTGGGATGGATGAGAGAAAATAAGCTGAGCTGAAATCTGGCAAGATATTCAGCTGCACTCCTACAGAGCCATTGTGGTGTAGTGGTTAAGAGCGGTAGTCTCGTAATCTGGGGAACCGGGTTCGCTGCTCCGCTCCTCCACATGCAGCTGCTGGGTGACCTTGGGCTAGTCACACTTCTCTGAAGTTTCTCACCCCCACTCACCTCACAGAGTGTTTGTTGTGGGGGAGGAAGGGAAAGGAGATTGTTGGCCGCTTTGAGACTCCTGAAGGGGAGTGAAAGTTGGGAAATCAAATGCAAACTCATCTCTTCTTCTTCTTCTGCATCCATCCATAGCAATGGTTTCAATTATTTAATGTTTACAAAGGAAAATGAAGGGAAAAAATAGTAGACAATGAACTGAGAAGTAGATGAGGGATTATTGGAATATGGAGCTGATGCAAAATCAAGACAAATATATAAGAAAAAGACTCTGAGGAAACAGGAGAAAATTATCCGGGTGAAGGTACATCAGGAGGAATATGTCTAAACATAAGTATGGAGTATTATTTATAGCTCCTTTTTATTTTGATGACATCAATCCTAGAAGAGGAGCACTAATTAGTGCCCATTCTCAGGTTGTGTAGAGAAGGATAGTTGGATGACAGAAGCCTTTCAGAGTACAAATCACAGGAAAATTAAATGACTTGTTATAGGAAAATCTACACTCAACATCTTATTGCAATGTGGTTTTAGGGTCAGCATAGCAATTTCCTCTCATGTCTGGGAGGCAGTGAAGGGATGGTGTCTCTTTTTTCTATTTATTGAGGAATTGTCTCTCAGCTAAAATGGCAGACACTGAGGAAACGGGGATCAATAAATCAAAGCTTGGGTCTGGG